TTATATTTTTCCATCTTGTATTTGATTGGGAACCATTAGTTGATAGTATCAGCTTTAAGTTATCTAAAGAAAATGCTTGCAGTGTCCGTTTTTCAAGCTTAAATTTTAAAATTCAGTTAATATGTAATATTTTCTGGATGTATCGGGTAACTTTTTGAGTGAGAATTATTCGCATCGTCTCTCGTCACAAGTTTATTCAACTGACAGCAAAAAATACAACCTGTTTTGGTCGTAACTTTGTATTAACAGGAACGAATAATTAGTCTTGAATACTTCTAAGCAAGAATTCTTCAACTTCTGCTATGTGATCAAAATGTAGCAGCATATTTTTATCTGGTCCAGTATGAGCTAAAAATTGTTCTTAAGCAGCAAAGAGAACCTATATGGGACTAATCATAATAAATGATATGTAATAAAATAGTATATTTGGAAATATTCACCATCCCCCGAACAATTAAAATAATGACTAATTCTTATCTCGGTATAGCTCGTAGATTGCATTTATAACTTAAGAAACCAATTGTTCGTTTAGCAGAAGTGGTGCGACTGAGTATCACTTAAATGTCCCTAAATCATATTACTTGAATCAAACAGTTGAAAAACAAGTTCGCAAGTAAATATTTTTTATGAATTTAACAAAAAAATCCAAAATAATGTTGGACGTTCGTTTATATTTGTTTTTATTTAAGATAACATGTAAATAAATAGCGACTCTTAACAAAATATTTTCAACCAAAAATTTGGTAACATGTTGACCCAGTCAAACACTACAGTAAAAAGCTGTACATATTGATGCGGGACACATTTTCGTAAGTGACAAATAAATGTTGATGAACAAATTAATAAACAAATTATTACAGTAGCCTTTAAGAAATTTCGCGGTTCCATTAAATGCCGTCACATAACAATAAAACAAATGGAAGAACAATTGCGAAAATTCAATACTCAGTATCGAATATCTTTTACTTCAATACTTAAAAATTCAATAATCAGTATCAAATACTTAAGAATATAGGAATTCATCTTGCAAGAAACGATGGGTTGTGCTATATCTGATAAATATTCTCATATGTATCTTCTTATCATATTACAGTGTTTTCAAGCCGCTGCCGATACATTGATCCAGCTGTTGAAAGCATTGAAATTAAACTACATCGCGCACCTTGAGCTGCAGTCAAAATATACAACGAACCTGATTACGTTCAAGTACATTTATCGAGTTTATAATTTAATAAGCTACTTTTGAACAATATATATGTATATATATTGTTGGTCGGTATATATGGTCGGTATATATGGAGGACATACATAGTATCCGGTAATGAAAATTATTGCGTTGATAGCAAGTCGCGCGGTGTTAATGAATTCCACACTCGTCATAAATAAAATAGTCGAAAAAAACGATAGAAAATATGAACAGGCACGCAAGTCCGACATTCGGGAAATTTTTTTGAGTTTGAGGCAAGGTAACAGCAGCGCTTTTTAGCGCATTTTCTCATTTATGGAAAAAATGCACTATTGTGCTCGCCATGTCCGTCCGTCTGTCTGTCCGTCCGTCCGTCCGTGACCTCAAGTTTTCGTCGACGAGAAAATGCGCTCTCTGTCACTCACTGCAGAGCGCACTGTTATATTATTATATATATGCAGGATATATATATATATATATATATACTGTTATATTATTATATATATTTTTTTATTTTAAGATCCGCAAATTTCAGCGCAGCTGTTGCTGCGAAAAGACAAGCAAGCTTACAAATGTATTGCATTTTATTAGTGTATTTTATTAGTGTACTTCATTAGTGTATTTATTCCCTACACGCCACAATGGTGGTTGCATTAACTAAACCAAACCTAAACTAACCAAACCTAAACTAAACCAAACCTAAACTAAACCAAACCTAAACTAACCAAACCTAAACTAAACCAAACCTAAACTAAAATTAAACCAAATGACTATTGGCTTGCTAGAAAATGGGGTAGAAAGAGCACAGCAAACGATGCAAATTTTCAGCAGAACAAAGTGCATTTACACAACATAGTTCATGTCATTGTGTTTTTACACTGTTAGAAAAAACTGTGAAAAAACGGTCCCACTGGCGTTCCATATATAGTGGCCGGTCGCCCCGTGAAAATAAACTGTTTCGCCGTTTTTATCATATATTTTACGGATTTCTAATATTAAATTAGAATAAAAACGGCGACACGGTGTTTCTTTTCACGTGCCGACCGGCCACTGAAACGCCGGTAATACCGTTAAAGGTAATTTTTCTAACAGTTTAGGAACCGAAAGCCCATTGGCGCATTAGGAAAGATGGGATGGCTTGCAATACGAGAGGAGCAGCAAGCTGAGCTTATCTCCCCATGGCAACAGATTCGCTTATCTGGTCACCGGCAGCTGATAAGAGATTTTTTTTGTAGTAGCGACGTTGCTCGCTATCGTTACTGAACTCAGTGGTTCAGTTTACATTTTTATAACTGACTTTTGAACTCGCTATGCTGATAATTAAAATTTAATCTATGTTGCTAGGATGTCAATCTCACTGATAATAACTAATAATTGCTTACCGAGCAAGAGGTTATTGTATTCTTTTATATTAATGTTCATGATGATACCGCTGTCCAAATTGTAGCTGACGAGGTACATGCAATTTGAGTACCTACGTCGGCAGGAACCTTGCTGCAACCGTTGCGTTCTACGTCCTGCTTACTAGGGATCGAGTGTCTATGGCTACATCATCGTAAGGGATGTGCTACCACTTCTACCTAATCCTGCTTTCTATGGCAACATACTCGTAAGTGATGTGCTACCACTTCTACCTAATCCTGCTTTCTATGGCAAATAATCTTCACGTTCCAAGATCACGAGGCTCCGAAGTTTTGTTTAAATGCATTGAATTTTTCTAACAATGCAGAAATAGAAGATAGTGATAAGTAAATATAATTTTCCCGTTCCAAGATCACGATGCTCTGAAGTTTTGTTTAAATTCATTGAATTTTTCTAACAATGCAGAAATCGGAGATAGTGATAAGTAATACGTTCCAAGAACACAAGGCTCTGAAATTTTGTTTGAACACATTTAAATTTTTCAAACACTGCAGAAATCGGAGATAGTGAGAAGTAAATATAATTTTCACGTTCTATGATCACGAGAAGGTGTAATATATCACTAGCATTGCAAGCAAATATGCCATATATGCTTAAAAAATTGTAGCTTTCAAACTTCTAACGAAAAATGATAATTGCTTCAAAGTAATTATGCATGAGTCTTCTGAGTGGCTCAAAAGCTAAAAAAATGAAGATTATGAATATGAAAGGTAATAAATGCATAGAGGTCATTATCGTCATGAGTTACTGAACAAACGTTAGTGATGTTGTTTTATAATTTTAAGTTGTTATTTTCAGTTTTTATTCATTTGATATTCATTAATACAAGAGTAAATTGTTGGTCTTTCCTTGCATTGAAGTTTGTGTGTTTACTTCGACTTGCATGTTTATCTCTCTTAGGGTACTTCTGTAGTTTCTATTAAGCTGGTATAGGTGGGATCATTATGATGAAATAATAAATATGGAAACTTAACCAACTTTACCGATCAGTTAGGTTGGAATTACAATCAATATTGTTGTAACTCAAGCAGGGCAGTAGTGAGAGAAGGATTTGGTTGTAAATCTACCATTAAATTAAATAAATCTACATCAAATAAATCTACCATTGGCAGTTAAAGAAACGGTTTTTAGAATCAATCCTCCAAACCCAAGAAGAAAATTGTAGTTTGGGAGCCACGTTTTCTAATCCCAAACAGGACAAAAACGTCTTTCATTATTATTAAAAATTTATTTTATTTTTTTTTCTTTAACATAGACGGTACGGGCAGAGTTCTTCAAGCCTCAGCGGTTTGAATTAAGAGAGTAAATTTTCATGCAAGCAATTTGGCTGCAATTGAAACCCAAATGGCTGTTGTGTGACGAAAAAATAAATTGATGTAATTATTTTAGAGTTTTTTTACGCTGTTCAAATTATAAATTCCAACTAAAATCAAACTGCTACAGCAATTTCATTAGAGAAAAGGAAATACAGAGGGACTAAAAATCTATCATGTCATACATACCATGACAACTCAGTATGATCAATTATCCGATTATCTTCAACCTTATTCCTGTTGCTAATGCACATGAACATTTACGTATATCAATTAAATAACTTTTTATAAAAGATATCAAGTTTGATTTAATTAGTATTAAAAAGATAAGATACCGCATAGGGTTTCAAATTTATCTCTGACACTGAGCTGCCTCATTATCATGACTTAACTGCACGTTAATTGTAAGTGGTTTTAATTAACTCAGTACCGGTAGCAGGATCCTGTTGACCATGAATCTGATGAAATGTTTAATGATTAATATCATCAAAGAAGATAAATCTCATGCAGACGTGAAATCCCCGAATCTCTGACGATATGCTATCAGTTAGGATATCAAGCGAATCCTTATGATGTTCGCCAACAGTAGAAATAAGCTATACAACATGAACATCGCATTAACCAATAGCAGATTTTTAATTGATTTGTGATCTTTTGGATCACGCATATGACGAGTTATTAAGGAGTTATACTTACGCATGGTTGTGGCTTAATTCGTTCATGGCTTTAACACAACCTATGAACCCACGAAATCTTTGGTCACTTCGTTAGTACGAAAAGAGACAGAGTTCATATGCGATAATTCGAAAATTTCGACACGTCGCAGATATAATTTATTATCGATCAATCTCCTACAAACAAATTTGTATCGCGTGATACGCTAATCACTAGCAAAACACAAAGACAAAATTCTATCCTTGGTCTTAACAATAATAAATATTTAAAGCTGTAGAGTAAATAATTACCTTCTCGCTGTTTCCTGACCATTTGTTTGCATTGCCGGTAATGTGTGGCGATCGCGGGGCGTCGAGACAAGATACCGGCCATAGGACCGGCCTATATAAGGGTGGCCGGGCTGGACACTAATCACTTTTTCGTCGCACTTCGCAGCGCCAACACATCAGCCATGTCTGTCACCGGCACCTTCGTCCTCAGCTCCAACGAGAACTACGAAGCTTGGCTTCAGGCCGCTGGTGAGATAACCCGTGGTTACCCTGTAATTTTAATGATTAAGATTTCTGAATAACTTCGATTTATTTATTTAGTTAACATGTAATAAATTTGAAAGCAAAATCGTGGATAGGTAGAAAAGCTGTGACACAAATTTCTTTAGGGATGAAAAGTCAAGACTTTAATAAATTAACTTAGTTGATTGATGCTTCTTGTTGAACATTTGTCAACCTTATTCATAGAATTTGTGGTTATTTTAAATGACCCTCATAGAAATTTTAGGGCGCACACTACGCTAAATGAGTACATGGCAAGGGAGACCCATAAATATTGATTCGTTGCAATTTTTAGTATAAGACACTTGTTAATAATGAAGCAAAGAATGCTTTGTCCCTGCATGCTGGCGTTACAGGCTACTGAGTGACGTAAACGTTCGTTGAAAGTCATAATAATGCAGCAAAATTACAATTCAATCTATAATAAAAAATATATGTTTAGATTTGAAATGCCTAGCACCATATCGACCCGGTGAAATTCGAGTAGCTATTTCAAACTTTCGTCAGTCATGAAAAAATACGGTCAAATGACACGATTTCGATCATCTGTGAACAAGGCACGAAAAGGAAAAGAATCGGCGACAGGCCACATCAGGCCTACACTGCAGCGCCGAGATCAATATGTTATGTTATGTTATAATGGAATAAAATTTCGATCTGGAGCTAAACAGAACCAGAAATCTCATTGTTTGTTGCATCGCAGGTATCCCCGCTGACACTGCCACGAGGTTGGCGGCCGCTAAGCCCACCCTCGAGGTGACCAAGGGAGACAACACCGTTACGGTGAAGACCACGTCAGGTGACAAGGTCTTCTCCAACACCGTCACCTACGGCCAGGACTCCGAGGCTGACATCGCTGGTCTTAAATACTTCGTAAGGACCACACATTATTTACATTAAGAGTAATAAATACTTCGTAAGGACCACACATTATTTACATTAGGAGTAATAAATACTTCGTAAGGACCACACATTATTTACATTAAGAGTAATAAATACTTCGTAAGGACCGTACATTACATACATTTTATAGGTGTCAGAGTAAACCTTCATCAACCTTCTGTTGATGAAAACATTACCAGTTCTCAATGCAATTCGTAACTAATGGCCTGGTAACGACAGTTTTTGCCAGAAAGTAACAGAATGAATATAGCATCTTCAAAGCTGGTGATTAGCAGAACATGAATAAATTGAAGTATGCCGGATCATGAATTTGAAGAGATCCCTTGTATGTTGCTCTACATTTCACTTTTAATATTGTTTTATTTATTTTGGGAACGGCAAACTATGTTGAGCAACTGAAATCTGAACAGTAAGGCAACGAAGAAAATTGAAATGTAATTGGTCAATATTTTGAGGATTAACTGGTGGTGACTAAAGACCCTATAGTGTTTGTCAGAGAAGGGCATACCCAAAATGATCTCACTGAGTATATACTGAGTATATAGTATAGTATATATTCAGTACATATACTTTCCATGTCTCAAAATATCACATAATATTTTCCAGGTGAACGCGGAGCCTACCAGCAACGGCTACAAGGGGACCATCAAGCTCGGGTCCAAGACCGGCACCATCAGCGTCGAGAACAACGCTACTGGCTTCGTTCAGGTCCGTTACTGGTAGCATTAATTAGTTATCACCGTAGCGTTGCTAAAGTTGTTATCGTGTATAGGTAATTTAATATAATTAATTCGGTGTTTTTGATTATTTGTTTCATTGATAAATTTGCACTAATTTGATAACTTTTGGCGATTGAGAGGCTCTATTATGTTCTACCTAAGTAGAGTTTATTCGTAATAATAAGCAATAATCATGAATTGATAGCCCATGCTCGACGCTCTAATACACAAATTTTCAATCTCAGAATGTGAAACATAGCATCATTCGTTGCATCATAATAGTGAACTAAATTACTTGAAATTTATTGAAAAATTGTGAAAAATTGCTTCCTATAAACTATAAACTTTTCCTCATAATTTTCACGATAATATTCGCAATTGGATTAGTCGGTTTCTGGAGTTCTTGTTTAAGCTTTGCGTAATTTTATTACACAGCCTAAAAAAATGAATAATTTACTCGGTTGACACGGCAGGCTGTGGCTAAAGCGTTCGTTGCGTATGGACGCGGTCGTTGCAATGTCGGTTAACTTCAATTCTAATTCATGTAAAGTTTTTAATCCAACGAGCAGGACTTTAGGAAACAATCTTATGTACAATATTTTAACATAAAGAATAATAAACATCCCAAATTTTGCTTCAAATTATCAAGACTTGAAGGTTATTTCTTTGTTATCAGAAATTCGAATCACGATTGACTTAGTGAACCTTGAGCTATTTGTTGCGATTTCGGTTAGACCAGAGTTACATGTTGATGGTTGGTGGTCGATTAAGAGCCTCAGGAGTAACTTATTTTAACTGCTTGCTAATGCAAAAATTCGGTAGCTTCAAGTGAGCAAGAATGTCACGTGAAGATATTTTATCCAGTAATGTATTGTCACTTATATGCTGCGGATTAGATTATAGCACTATGCAGAAAAATAATGATGAATAGGGGAACACTATTCATCATGCGCTTGAGATTGAACTGTACATTTATTAACTTACATGCTCTAATTTAGACAAATTTTATTTTTAAATTCATATCGAGCAATTTTCGAGAGTAAAGATAATTAATAATAGAGAATAATAATAATAATTCGAAAATAAAAAATAATTTTCTTCTTATAGACGACGACGATCGAGGGTGTCACCGCGAAGCGCTTCTACACCAAGCAGTGATCGCTCAACAGGCTTCACGCTCCTGGACTTCCATCAATAGAACTAAAAGTGATTCCCATCTCAAGATTTTATTAGTAATGGGACAGTAGAAATTCATCAATACTTTCATAAAAAGATAACAAAATTTGTGTTTGTATCCCATAAACTATTTGGAATTCGTCATGAAGTATTTACTGCACTTAGACAGTAAAAAACAAGTGCACAACTGAGGCTCTTGATGGAACGGTGAAAAAATTCAGCGTTTTTTTAATGTAGACAAGAATATCATTATTAAAGAGTCTAGCACTTGATGCGCCTATAATAACACAGTTACGAGAACATGACAGAAAATCGAAGTTCAAAGTCTTTATCTGTTACTTCTGTTTAATTTTTAGCTTGCTTATGAGGCTTGAAATTTGAACTGATCGATGAAAATTCATTCATCGTGAAAAATTTCGTGAAACCTAATGTTGAAGGAAAATAATCACGGCAGTAATTTTTGTTGAAGTCTTCTCGAAGAAACAATAGAATGGTCAAGCAGCATATTAAATCTCGCTGCATGGTAACTCTCACGGCATGGTAACAGCTCGCATGCATCTGAGTGAAGAGTTACCAAGCGAATCGCGTATCAAAAGTTAAAAGTGTTAACGTGCTGCATGAATAGCAACCGAACACAGATTGAATAAGTTACCATGATACGTGAGTAGAACTTAGCAAAGATTTAATAAGCTTACGGTCAAAATGAGAAGATTTTAGCACAGATTAAATAAGTAACCGTGTTACGTGAATAAAACAGAGCATAGATTAAATAAGTTACCGTGTTACTTGAGTAGAACCTAGCAAAGATTTAATAAGCTACCGGTCTAAATGAGAAGATCTCATTTAGGCACTGATTAAATGGAAAAAGAAAATGAAATGGCACTGATTAAATAAGTTACTGTGTTACGTGAGTAGAACCGAGCATAGACTGCAAAAGTTAGTGCGCTACGTAGATTAAACTAAACATATTTTACTTAACAAGGTAGCGGACGGGTGCCGAACAACGCTTTTCCATTACCAGCGGACTCCCGGACCAAAGAGATCATTTACGAGTCATGATGCCCCTTAAATTGGCAAGTCGGTTTTGCTTACATAATATTTCAAACAAGAAGACCGTTCATTATTCCCGCTGAAGATTGGTATTGCCAGGTCTCATAATCTATCAGAAACACCGGATGCAAGATTATTGATATTCCCCAACCACAGCTCTTGCTGGCTAGAGGATGTCTGAGTTAAAAATATCAACACTGGCCACCAAAAAGATTTTGACTTTACTAATAGTAATCACCAAAAAGATTTTGACTTTACTAATTGATTAAATTTAAACCTTGTTAACAATTGAGGTCTCTTTGGAAATAAGCTAGATAATTACAGCTAAAATGATCAATGGGATTGATAAGGACGAAACCATGTTCAAACATCTTGCGATCTACGAGTATCTAGCAATATGGAAAAAGAGACGCAGTGAAACAATTAATCACCATCGTTCATTGAATTTTTAATTTCTAAACTGGGTTTTATCATAAGTAAAGTTGGGGTAATATTAAAATCAATTTGGGGTAAGTTTACTTGTAGATTTTGTAGGCGTAAAACTAGGAACATGTCCGTAATATTAAGTATAGAGTTCGCACAGACTTATGATGAAAGGTAGAGATGCTCCAGAGACATGAAGCCCTTCAGTGCCTATTGACACAGAAACGTCGTCGTATTTTTCATCAATGCCGTTCATAATCAATATATAGTTAAATTCTCAAATATCTTCCTTGAACTTTGCTGGATATCTTCTTTATTTTGGTGTTCCCGAATTTCTTTCATTCATTGAGTTGTTTACTGCTATGCTTTATTTTCCTTTTGAATTCTTGTTATAAATTAATTCGAACTCTCAAGCTCGATCGTATTTACTATTTAAATTTCAACTTGATCAGACCAAGATTTGACGCCACTGATAAAAGCTTTATTATTAGTAGTAGCCTTTTGCCGTCACTCAATTACTTTACCTTCTTTCAAAGCAATTCTTCAACTTTACTTTACTTTACTATTTCACGATGAAGCATCCATGCCAATCTGCTTTCATCTCATTTCAATGTCTTTGCTCCTATAAAAGTGCATAACCACACTGAGTGCCAACAATAAACTCAGGTGTAAAGTGGTGTACGTGTAAAGTGGTTCAAATGTTCAAATTCTTATTGCTCACATTTGGCATTTGCCGTTTGTTGTCATTTTGCTTTGCCGTTAGTTGTCATTTTGTCAACCTCATTTTGTCAACCTGTTTTGTCAAACAGTCAAACAACAGTTAGTTGTCATTTGTCAAACTTTGCCGTTAGTTGTCATTTTGCCATTTGTTAATCCCATCATCATTATGTTGCAGTATCACCCCAACTTCGACCTCGCTGATGGAGATTCACGGACTCCTATTCTTTGTCGCTGATGACGGTTTGGTCGAAGCGTGCACTGCAGTTACCGCTCACCTTTTTGCTGAACCCCATTATACTGACTCCCTCATTTACGTAGACATTATGAAGGAACCAAGGACTCTTAAATGAAAAGATGGCTTTAACTCTCAAGTAATATGAAGACTTGCGCAGAACTGTCTGAAATCTAAGTGGAATTTTCAATTTTAACACGTTGACTACGAAGTGGTACATATGCGTACCACGAAATGTATTTCTCCAGGACGTAGTGGTACATAATTCAGGTTGCCTAAAATCGGCCAAATCCGAGAAGAAAAAACGCCAAAAAGCCTATAACTCAAAATATACTAGTTTATTTAAAGGTTCCGCTATTAAACTCAATTAATTTTTTTTGCAGTATTTAAAATTTAATTAGGAAGTAACCCTATCATAAATTTTAGCCGGCCAACGCAATTGAGAAAAACTATATCACGGAATTTGTCCGGAAAAAATGACCGTCTGGCAACCCAAAACAGTACAAAAAATGAAATAATAGTACAAGATGAAGCAATCGGAGTCAAAGTGTTAAATTGTGATTGCAAACCTACCAGCTAAGATTGTATGTAGTTTTCCATAGGCTTTCCAGTTGATTTACGCATATATGGGGAAACTGGTCACTGAAATTGGTATAATTTAATTATTATCAGACATCAACATAAAAACCTCTACCTGGAAGAAACATTATGAACTTACTTTTTTCACATAGTTTCAAAAACGTACCGCAAGAGGTGTTTCAATCGCTTCAATGTTATCGAGCTCCACCCCTCGAAGGCCCGTAGGAATGCATGATATTTCGTTAACTGATAAAGATGAAGCGCCCTGCAGGCATTCCAACGACCAACAGCAACACATACTCGCATCAACGTTAGAATCTGCCTTTTGTACCCTACCCCATAACTGACCCTGTAACTCTGGTCTCATCATAACTACTATTTACTAGAAATTTAAAAACGAAGAAAACGCCACAAAAATTCAGCATTTCTCTATTGAAAACGTTTCGGAGACCAGCTCCATCGTCAGTTCGATAAATCTAGAACACAAATACAGTCAGAAAATTAATAAAGTTTGGAGTCATAAGAACGAAACGGTCTCCGAAACGTTTTCAATAGAGAAATGCTGAATTTTTGTGGCGTTTTCTTCGCTTTCAAATTTCTAGTGAATCTGCGATTCAAGCAATCTAGTGACATAACTACTATTTAATAACGAGCAATATAAAAAATAAAGCCCTTAAAACAACACTCACCACTGCAGAACAGCACGCACCACTGCAGAACAACACTCACCACTGCAGAACAGCTCTAATCACTGCAGAACAACACTCACCACTGCAGAACAACACTCACCACTGCAGAACAACACTCACCACTGCAGAACAACACTCACCAATGCAGAACAACACTCACCACTGCAGAACAACACTCACCACTGCAGAACAACACTCTCCACTGTAGAACAACACTCTCCACTGCAGAACAACACTCACCACTGCAGAACAACACTTACCACTGCAGAACAGCACTCACCACTGCAGAACAACACTCACCACTGCAAAACAACACTCACCACTGCAGAACAACACTCACCACTGCAGAACAACACTCACCACTGCAGAACAACACTCACCATTGCACCGGGATAATTCATGATAAGGGTATTCCTTGTTGCTGCCATAGGGATTTTTCGGCAATGATTTGCTTTATAGAATAGAATAGAAGTGTCGGCGTTGAAAAAATAGGCCCATGGCCTGTTGCCGATTCTTGAACTTTTCGTGAAAAAAGTGAAACTTTACCGACGAAAAGCTTTGTTCTTGATTCTCCCACCTACTTTGCAAGAATTGATGCTGAGTCTGATCCAGTTACAACGTTTTACACTTCAATAATATATTTTTGTCCTAAATCAGAGACATTTTTGTGACATCTAATTAAAATCCGGACATTTTATACCAACCATTCTTTTCTTCCATTGCGATAATAAATAAATAGTCATTGACTAATATCTGAACCAATACATTATTAAAGTATGGGAATAACTGCACATAATTTAATCACTGACCTGCACAGATCTTGTATTTATATTATAGTTGAGCGTAAATTTATTGATTTGAATATTATTTGAGTAAGTGTATATTAATTCTATTAGTCATTTGCAATTATTGTCAAATGACTTACTCCATAGTATTCTAATTCATGATAGTCATGCTTGATGTATATGATACTCTATCGATCTAATTAACGCAGTGTTGCACTTAATGCAGTTAATATGTATATATTATCAGTCCTTGATAAGACGTGATGATAAGAGTGTCGAGTTACTAGTCTCGTAGCTTGATCACCAAACGCACCACTCATGACTCATCACTAACAATGCAATTGTTAATTGTTAAAAAAAAAGAAATTGTTAGCCTCAGAAAATGTGCAGGCTCTACGGACCATCTGTATTTTAGGACATATGAGCAATATTATTTGTCTTATCTTAACACGGCTTAACACGGCTTAACACGGCTTAACACGGCTTAACACGGCTCAACACGGCTACACGGCTTAACACGGCCTAACACGGCTTAACACGGCTTAACACGGCTCAACACGGCTTAACACGGCTTAACACGGCTTAACACGGCTTAACACGGCTTAACACGGCTTATAGTCCCTTTATGATGGCATAAATGCGAAAAAACAATTGAATAGAGCAATTTTGACATACAGTATTTTACATTATATAATTTTCATAATTTTAACGCCTTCGAAACTTTCGTTTCATTGAAGATCTATAATGTGTGATGGAACTGATAAAAGATTGTTAATTAAACAATAAATTATTCGAAGCCAAGTTTTTTTTTTAATTTTCTTTTTAGTAAATAAAAATGTGTTTTCAGGGGCAAAAAATTATTTAGAACAGTGTCGGCCAGGTAAATATTTATCTTTCTAATATATAATTAGAAACGCGGATCTGCGTCAAGCCAGACTGCATGATTGCAATACTATGCATATATTATATGTACATATATACCATACATATATAGCTACATAACCATGGTAGTGGCTTGTGCCACGTAAGACGAAAATAAATAATTTTGTACAATGTTTGATGGTATAATAAAACATTTTGGAATGCTAAAAAATAAGATTTCCATTAAATTGTTAGAATCATACGTTTTGCAATTCACTCTCTGACAACGCGTAACACCAAGAGTTTAATTTGATCACGGGCATCAATTTGAAACATTAGCTGGTACATACTAGCGAGCAGTATGGGTGATAGGATACACTGGGCTAGAACTTTTGTTGATATTTACTAGTAGTTTTATAAGTTAATGAATTCACCATGCAGAAATACATTATAATTTACACATCATTTCGCTTTCTGAACAACGGGTTATTCATTCATAGTCTTCGGAATAATAAGTAAGGAAAACATTTATTACAATTTGTGTATGTGCAGTATGAAAGTGTATGTCGATCAGTCGACAACAATGTCCTATTTCGTACTGCAATCCGTTTGTATTCATACTATAACTGGGCGTGCGGGAAGTTTCAATTTTTTGTTAGATGGTTTAGCTTCATTTAGAATTTAAGTTAAGAAGAAGGCAATAGAACTTGGTCCTATTATATAAAGTTGCATATATGAAAGTAAATACTTAATTACGTTGATTTTTCCATTTGATTAATGAAGAACTTTCATACGAGCCTATCTTAACTTCATGTAATGGAATAAAAGGACACATTTAAGCACCATTTTTAGCGCATTTTCTCATTTATGGAAATAAATGCACTATTGTGCTCGCCATGTCCGTCTGTCTGTCCGTCCGTCCGTCTGTCTGTCCGTGACCTCAAGTTTTCGTTGACGAGAAAATGCGCTCTCTGTCACTCACTGCAGTGAGTACTGAGTTATATTTTTTTATGTATGATGTCTTTTACAAGTCTTTTCATGATGTTCGATGGATCCTTCAAGCTTCTTCTGTTTAGATTTTGCCGAATGGTTTTCTGATATGAAATTTAATGTATTTTTTGGCTCATTCTGTGAACACGCATTTATTACAAATTTTCACATATTAAAAATGACGAAGATAGTCAAAATATTGAGAGTTATTAAGTTATTGAGTTGAAATCATACATTCGATTTTTATTTGACCACATGTGTTAACATATTGATAATTAGTACACTGAGAAGCTAGTGTTCCCAATGCACTGATTGGTACGTCCAGTTTTATTGTCGTCGGTTTCTTGTATAATTAGAAACTAATGATAATTTAGTTTCATATTCTCTCATTCTTCTTACTCATAAAGCTTGTGTTTTATGAGTAAAAAGTTTATGAAAGCTTAACCAATACTGAATTCTTTTTGTCTGAGCATGCACTATCTCAGTTTATTTTTCACGTAATCGCACCATGAATACATATAACGATTACTGCACTCGCTGTACAGTAGAAATTAGTGAATAAATAAAAATAAATGCGAAGAATGCTCATTGTTTACGAAGATGTTTATATTATCTTTGTATTAATGGCTGGATGTTATGTTCAGATATTCCCGTTAAAATAAAAGTCTCATCTGAACGTAGTTGCAGATGTATTGTATGTATATATTAAACTAAAACGTAAAGTAGTTTCTACTCTAAAGCAAGTGCGGCGATCGTTATATGTTTTTATTATGGGCGCGATTTCTTGAACAATAAACTGAGATCACGCCACAAAAAGAATTCATCATTTGTTAAGCTTTCATAAACTTCATACTCATAAAACACAAGCTTTTATAACAGGCCCCCAGATACGTTAGGTTGATAAGAGTTAACTACATGACGAGCTGTTACTTCGTACAAATCATGCTACTGTCGGCGCGCCTCTTGAATTTAATAAATTTGTTCCTGCGCTCAGAATATTATATGGTGCCATCAAATCATAAAACATGACGCATCAAAAATGACTGAGAAAGCACGTGTCTTATTGATACTTGAACTTAACTGCACCTGCAGTGTGAATAATAATTAATTTCAGCAGTCTAAGTTAAGGTAATTGTAGATATCTTGATTTGAAAAAAGTTGAGTTTAGTTCATTTCGCGAGCATTTTGATGAATAAATTCAAGTGATCCTGCTTCCTAGAGCAAGCTTAACGACATTATAAGGCTTTGTTTCGATAAAATTACGAATACTCATATATATTTTTCTTCCCAGAGACGTTTTTCTTTTCCACGTCATTTGAAAAAAATTGAACATGGGCCGCGGTCTTATTAACTGAACCCGTGAATTGGAGGACAAGATTTTTGCACCCCATAAAGCTTCCTTTACGATCTTTAATTCTACGTTTAAAAAAATTAACACATACAATTTTTTTTATTTCACCTGCATTCATATGTTCATCAAGTTTTGCTAATCTCCCTCAGGCAATGATCGAGCTCTACGTACCCGCCTTTCTTCATGGCAGGAATTGTTCCCTCTGTTTGAGGGATGGCGACCCTCGCCTAGCCGCATACCACGTCGCCCTTTTTAATTAACTCAACGATGATTGATATTTTACAAGCTCTACAAGTGAGTTGGAGAATACCGAGCTCTACAAGCTCTCCAACTCTACAAGCGAGTTGGAGAATATTATGGTTTAAAATGTGAATAAATTCAAAAATAGTAAATTGTCTGACTTCTTTTGACTTTTTTGTAACGGTGACCACCACCTTGTTCTCGTAATCCTAATGTGTAAATAGTGGAGCCGCAAATAACGTGTATATTAAGAAACACACCCAAGATTATTTTGAATAATTTTATGCGGACTCTATTATACTTGCCTAATTTGTTAAAAAACACCCGAGTGTAAAAGGCCAGGTAAATATTTATCTGATTGTCTCAACTTAATCAGCCATAATTGGATATTGAATGTTCGGTGATGCCGTTAAGTATTAAAGTAAAATGATGGCTGGAATGCGAGAGTTGGAATATTTTGATGGCATAAATGCGAAAAAACAATTGAATAGAGCAATTTTGACATTCAGTGTTTTACATAATATAATTTTCATAATTTTAACGCCTTCGAAACTTTCGTTTCATTAAAGATCTATAATGTGTGATGGAACTGATAAAAGATTGTTAATTAAACAATAAATTATTCGAAGCCAAGTTTTTTTAAATTTTCTTTTTAGTAAATAAAAATGTGTCTTTAAGGGCAAAAATTTAGAACAGTGTCGGAGAGAAGTTTGCTGGAGTTGGAACGATATAGCTCGAATTTCCGTAAGAAAGCCTCTTAAATTTGCTAGATCTGATAACAGTAACATCTCATTTTGTTGATCTTTTTGGATCTGTGTCCTATTCATTGACTGGTTACTTTTTATATTATATAGTTTCTGACAAATTTTTTCAGGCTGATTTTTCGGCATTCATTAACAGTACAAAAATATGACCCAAAGAAAAATTTCACCGTAGATCAGTTTCTGCGACAAAATATCAAGTTTACGTTTTAAAACCTTGTGCGCACGAAAAATTACTTTCCCAATTGTTCTAACCTGTTTTCAGTTTTTTTAACTTAATAATTTTCTCGCACCATTCCTGATTTAAAGAACAAAAACAAAGCAATAATAATATTAAATAATAATCGAATTTGATAGGCTACAACGGCATCCGATTTCGGAATTATGCTTGACAGATGAATTTTTGGGGCACCTAACCTCACAGAATCACTCACAATCTGTAATCTTTCGCAACAACACATTTTGGAATGTGTTCTATAAAGTATCAAAAAATAAATGAACAAGCCTTGCATTGAACGGTTTGAGAAGCGATCAAGTCAGCGCGATATTTCTTGCAGGATTACTTAACACATCTAAATATTTAATATGTAATTTCTGCCAGTATTGATATTATAAAAATAATTAAGTTGATCAAAAAATAACAGGACTTTGCTGTGTAGAACATCAATAAAGAATAAACTTCATTGAGAAAACTGCTTTCTTTGAAGTTGCAACTTTTGTGAATTTAGAGGCTAAATATATATCTAATTTCAAGCTTTAATAACGAACACTCACCACGCATGATAACGCTTACTGTTGAGTCACTTATCGCCTTGGTTTATTGGACCCTCAATCAATAAACTTTTTAACGTAATCCCTCCTTCCTGCGCCGGCTTGCCATAAACTCGACGGGCTATATAAGCAGGTACCTCAAGGCGTTAGCTTCATTCTTTGGTATTGAGTATAGTTATTGTTATTAAAATTAAAAAAGAATTCTCCGCCATGGCTATGACCGGGAAATTCGTTCTCTCTGCCAGCGACAACTATGAAGCTTTTTTGAAGGCTGGAGGTGAGTGACGCATACGACAATTATATTGTACGTTGATTCATGTTGCTTCTTGAGTACTGTGGTATATTCGATGTGTATAGAGCCAGCTAATTTTTTCAAGCTTTATGGTATAAATATAGGAAATAATTCTGATATGAAATGATGATAACAAATGTCGATTATTAGTTACACTACTGTCTCGGATGGATGTGAGAAAATTCAAATTTGTTTTTACGTTGTACCAATTAATATATTCGACATCTACTTTAAATATATTAGAAACCTCACTTAATTAATGAGAATCGTCCTATATTTGACACGTAATATATTAATTCGAGCGTGTGCGACAATTTTCTTTAGTGAGAACAATTGAATAAATTATTCTAAATTAAGCGTTTATCTCTGACTTTTAATTTGTGCGCGAACTCAATTTAAAAAAATTGACTAATCTCGAGACTTTAATGGCGTCTTATAGTCCAACGACTTGCAGGCGCTTCAAGAATGCAATATATCAGGCCCACAACCATCATATGTAATGTCTGTGTCATCCCAATTACACCTGTTTTCACCCAATTACACCTGTGTCATCCCAATTACACATGTGTCATCCCCATTACACCTCATCCCAATTACACCTGTGTCATCCCAATTACACCTGTGTCTTCCCCATTACACCTCATCCCAATTACACCTGTTGTCATCACCCAATTACGCCTGTGCCATCCCAATTACACCGGTGTCATCCCCATTACACCTCTTGTCACCCAATTACACCTGTTATCATCCCTAGTACACCTGTGTCACCCTATTACACATGTATCATCCCAATTACACCTGTATCATCCCAATTACACCTGTTGTCATCCCAATTACACCTATTGTCACCCAATTACGCCTGTGTCATCCCAATTACACCTGTATCATCCCAATTACACCTGTTGTCATCCCAATTACACCTATTGTCACCCAATTACGCCTGTTTTCATCCCAATTACACCTGTTATAACCCCAATTACACCTGTGTCATCCCAATTACACCTCTTGTCACCCCAATTACACCTGTGCCATCCCAATTACACCTCATTCCAATTACACCTCATCCCAATTACACCTGTGTCGTCCCCATTACACCTCTTGTCGTCCAATTACACCTGTTGTCATCCCAATTACACCTGTTGTCACCAAATTACACCTGTGTCGTCCCCATTACACCTCATCCCAATTACACTAACCGTGCATCACACCATCAGGCGCGTGTGATGAAGCGATCAAGAAGGCGAGCGCCGCTAAGCCCACCCTGGACATCGTTGAGTCTGCCACCGGCGTGACCATCACGACCAGCGCTGGCGACCAGTCTGCTACCAACGTCATCACCTACGGCCAGGACTCGCCCGCCGAACTTGCCGGCAGGAAGTTCACGGTGAGTTCGGGTTACTGGTGCAACATATGCATAATTAGTAATTATTACCGGTGCACCATAGAAGTAATTAGTAATTATTACCGGTGCACCATATGCATAATTAATAATTATTACCGGTGCACCATATGCATAATTAATAATTATTACCGGTGCACCTATAGGTAATTACGATAAGTCTCAATTGATAAACACTTGTCTAAAGAATGCAGTAACTGTCGTCAATGGTATTGTTTCGTTTGCTATTAATTTATTTGTGACGTGCCCACGAAGTTCGTCTGAACCAGACGCCACGATAAATGCTTCGTATAATAATAATAATTATTTTCTAGTGCATATTCAAGAGGGCTGGTAACTTAAATTAACGTTTATGTTGAAGGTTTATAGAACAGTATTTTTGTATGCGATAAAATAATTGCAAAACAAAATAAGAAATTTAGTAAAAATATATACATAATAACTTCTTGCATCGTTGTGATACCAATTAACAATGATATCGTTGAGGTCATAAACGAGTAACTCTAATGTATTTTTCCATAACGTCGATTACGGAAACTAAATTAGAATAAAAATAAATTAACGGGAGCATAAGCGAAGTATTATGCAAAACCATCGTTGGTTTTAATTATTATTTTACAATATTTATTGCTTTTCAGGTTAACGTTTCGAAGACTTCGTCCGGATACTCTGGAACCCTTACGCTGGAAGGCAAAACTGGTCAGATCTCAGCTGACATCGACGGTTCAACCTTGACCAGGGTGAGTTGTTACTGATTAGGTCATAAATTTTTAAATGAAAATTGCATATTGATTATTTTTCACCTGAAGTTACTGGGATTCATGGCACGTCAGGGCACCAAGACAAATTATTGAAGTTCCCCTGATAAAGATTTAGTCTGATTTATTGGGGTCGACATGAACAAATTGTTGTATACAAGCTGTAACATCAATAATTTTGTTCCTTTACTAGCTCAATGACAATGCATTTAATAAATGTTCATCTTATTCAGTGAATGGTCATTTTCGGCCACCCATCTTGCGTAGAATCCGAAGTTCAGTTTAATTTATAGTTGTACTAATACGATATTATCAGCTATAAATTTTACGTGGAGCTGAAACATTTCATTTATATTTTAAAATATAAATATATATATTAAAATAAAATATATTAATTTCCTTCTGAAACTGAAAAATAATTTTAATTATATCGTTTCTCAATTATTTGCTTTCATTTTTACTAAATTTTGAATTTCTGTGCGTCACAGACCATGACTTACGATGGCGTCACCACGAAGCGCACCTTCACCAAGCAGTGAGGCAGCCGTCCTGCCGACATCATGGATAGTCGACCGAGTCAATAATATAGCATGGATACCTTGATTATAATGCAGCATTGATAAAATTTCCATGATTAATATTTGACAATTAAAATACAGCAAGAAAAGCTCAACGATTCTCATTTTCCTGCTAAATAGTTAACTGTTACATCATCGAATAACAACCCTGTATGTATATTCATTGGTATAGCTTGTCTGTAACACTATATGATTCATTTATTTGAATTCGTTGACTTGAATCCTTATTTAATTCATGTAATATTTTTGCAGCCAAAATGCAGTTCTATATAATATGTGTCTTTCTATTTGAAACACTCCGAATCCAAATTTGATAGTTTAATACCGTCGTACACTACTGATCGCATCAAAAAGTAGAACAATTCATTGTAATGGGAAGGTTCAGATTAGTATAAAGAACGTATTAGTAGTCAATAAATTCGAATTAAGTTCTCACGAAAAAGTACCTTCGTCTCACCACCTCGTCTAAACTCTTGTTGCGTCTGCTCTTACACAGAAGAAAAACTCTACTACGAGTATGTACGATTATTATCGGGGAATAAATGACTTACACAAGAGAAAAAGCTAGTGTGCTGGCTTTTGTGTAAGCTAGCTTACACAAAATAAATACAAAATGTGTAAGCTAGCTTACACAAAATAGTGAAAAAAGTCGCATTAATCGTGAAATATTCACGTTCAGTGATCTCGAGCCCAAGAGTTAGTGAGAAAATCCCCATAAAAAGAAAGGTCGAAATGAACTTGCAACTGATATAATCCAAGCCTTTAGCCTGAAGAGGGCAACTGCAACTAAGATTGCACTCGCTTAGTCTAGTACATTTCATAATACACGGCATGAGTTTTTTAATACTCGTCTTTCACAAAAACACTAAAGGTGGAGCGCATTATTATATGATGTATTTGTTGTATATTATGATAAATAGTGAAGGTATTTTTTCTGAACAGAATCAAATCATTAACAAAACCTCAACAAATCTGCTGTTATTATTTATTTTGATGAATGTGTGGTTTAGAATAGTAAGTTGAAGTTTTCTTACTGAATTAGGCCTAAATAATAGCCAGGCTTGATTGATTTTACGCTTAACAAAATTTATGTTCTTGACCGGAGAAATTTAGAGAAATAGTAAAAGCCGAATTAACTTGTATTTACAAATAGGATTTGACTTCTAGAAGAACCAGTATCTGATTTATCTTAATTCTGTTTCATATTCTTAATGTTTAATTTAATTGACATTCTGTTTCATATTCTGAAATTTCATTTAACTTTAGGTACAGTTCTTCCAAAAAATGACGGGTTAAATTTTATAATAGAATTTAATTTTGTACAACACATTTAAAACTCGGCAGTCAGTCGTCACTTATTATCCCTAATTTTTAACTGCCGTCAGTTCTCTCCTTCTCTTTATATTCTGCAAGTGTTCATTAGTAGTCTCAGGTCAGCCGCCTTAGACTCCATAATCTGTGCATAGGTTTCAAGTAAAAGTTAAACATTGTTCCGTAGACTTTTTACGCAGCGATCTTCAACGCGCTTGTGCCGCCTCCCGCAAGCAAATTGTGATGGTCGATCATCATGAGGGCCTATACTTTCAAAAAAAGTTAAGAGATCGTAAGTTCATCAGCCAGTCATTGACGGCCTTTCAAGCAAAATTCAATAATCATAGACAAGAAAATAGAGCGTAAGTACTTACGTTCACTTAGCGAGTTTTGAAAGTATGGCCCGAGGCTCATCGCAAGCCTAAGTCAGACTCCAATGTAGACACTGAAGTAATGCAGGTTCTGAAGAGTGCTGACGCGACTAAGAGTTCTTGGTTCAGGAAGGAATTGAAACGAGATGCAAGATTGTCAGCAGACTTCAGTAGAAAGATATAGGCATGCAAGTTTGTAGTACAACGTAGAATGCAAACTACATTTAGGAACGTGGAATTCTTGAAGCTAGTTATTCAAGTACGGACGTTATGCATATATCTACAGACACGAATTAGTAAGTTACAAATCTCATTTTAACGAAATTGCCCTAATTTGTAATATTATAATTTAATACTGAAACACTGATAAACAATTTCTATAGTACACTATTGTGGTTGTATAACCACAATGCCTTAGGTTAGATACAGAAATGTTTTGTGTAATTATTTTATTTATAAGGCAAGGAAGCCCGAAGAATAAGGCGATATTTCGTGACAGGATGTTGAGCTCATGGTTCGTTCGAAAGTTTTTCTTGACCAAACGAATTTTTCATTATGTTAAATGATTTGAATTAGCGCAGTGTTATTCGATTCTTATCCCAAAAAATCGTTGTATTTTCAATTTATGTATCTATTTCCATACATCCAATTGATCTTCCAAAATGTAAAACTCCGCATCACGAGTGTTATTAAGAAAGCCTTGCGTAAACTTACATTTTTCTACTTACTTAATTCACCATTCGAGCAGAAGTGAAAATAGGGAGCTGGATGGTGAGGCGACCGAGGAGGTGGAGGCCGTAATTGTGTTACTCCCGCCACTGACAGTCATTATAATTCACTGGCAGTCATTATAATTAACTGGCAGTCATTATAATTCACTGGCAGTCATTATAATTCACTGGCAGTCATTATAATTCACTGACATTCATTATAATTCACAGGCAGTCACTATAATTCACTGATGTGACAGTGGCAAGCGTTCGTCGTCGAGTCATACATTGTTATGTTATAAACTAGGCAGTTAATTAGGTAGGAGTTGTAATAACATTCTGCTAGGGGCAACTTCTTTTTCACTGGTTATTTCAAATTTTTAGCGGCAGGGAAAAAATGATGAGTTGATCTTTAAAAGCCAAATAAAGTCATGCCAAGATCTGAAATAATAATTTCGTTTGTATCAACCTCTCATAGAAGTTAGTTTCTCTGACTCACTTTGAACCCACAGCTTTAATAATAATAACGATAATTTGTAATGTATGATATTACTCTTTGTACCCAAGTTAGTTATAACAACAATATTTTCGCAATTAATGGTAGCAGTACGCACGTAACGTGATTTATTTCCGGGCCCCACTCAGTTACAGGTGGGGGGTAAATTTTCTCAGCTTAGCTACCCATTCATCATGCAGAAGTTTGGTACACCCAAGGGCTCTCCCTCGTCTAACACCAACGCTTGACACTCACAAGTTTAATCCCTCCTTTTGTAATAGAGTCTTGTACTCAAAATCGCTATTCCTCATCTCTTTCTGGGGCCATACTTTCAAAACTCGCTAAGTGAACGTAGGTACTTACGCACTATTTTCTTGTCTATGATTGGTGGACTTTGCTTGAAAGGCCGTCAATGATTGGCTGATGAACTTACGATCTCTTAACTTTTTTTGAAAGTACAGGCCCAGGATTAAATCGAGAATAGAAATTAACTTTTTTGTACGCTTAATTGTCACAGGCAAGAGACTCCTGCATGGATGCCATCTTTATAACTTTTTAATAACAGAAAAAGATGAAAATTCCGAGAAAATATTTGATCTTAATATTTGAATTTAATTTAAAGTGTTATCTTGATCGTACACACCATACATTATTGGAAGCAGAATGTATACGTGATGTTAATTTTATGTTGGCATAATGTTGGTTATGAACAAAACGAAATGTTGGCTGAATTGAATGAGTCAATTCCAGCATGTACACTGTTAGAAAAATTACCGTTAACGGTATTACCGGCGTTTCAGTGGCCGGTCGGAACGTGAAAAGAAACACCGTGTCGCCGTTTTTATTCTAATTTTACACTAGAAATCCGTAAAACATCTGATGATAACGGCGAAACAGTTTATTTTCACGGGGCAACCGGCCACTAGAATGCCGGTGGGACCGTTTTTTCACCGTTTTTTCTAATAATGTAAGTGAGGATAAAATGAAAAGCTAGGATGCGAGAGGTTTTAATTTCAGGAGTGCATTCATGAGCGAAGCTGAGCTGCAAGTATTAAGAACAACAATTATGAAACTTCAAGATCTTTTACTAATATATTTGTAGAACACATTAATTTCGATTGTCAAAAAATATTCTGTTTAGATGAATCAAATATCCAAAGAAACTTAGTTTACAACGGCTTTCATTCCATGAATATTTTGAGGTAAATTAGAAGCAAGTGGTCGAACGCATTAAGAAACAACGAGGCCACTGAAATGAATAATGATATTGAATTAACATCTGTTTGACACTTGAAGTTGGGCCTTTATCTTTCTGTTGGTTTCATGATCAGGAAATACAATTCAATTCAGCATAATATGTATGTCTCAATAATATTCTAAAATTCAGAAATAAAAAATTTACCCTAAATTAATTAGAAGTTCTACAAAAATTTTAAGAAGCCACAATTCACAAATATATATTTTTCCAGACAAATGAATTGACTGACATAAAATAATTTGAATTCAGTAACGATTAAAGGTAAATTCAAACAGGAGGCTGCAGCACGACCTCGACCATCACGTAGGCTGATCTGCATAGGCCTGAAGAACTTGTGTTGGGACCCCAAGTTCAGGCTTAATACAAACGTCTAATATTAATAAGGCCACACAATGCCATCTACGTCTTCATTAACATTGTCCTCGGTGTCACATTTAGATAGATTCATCTCTCCCATACCACCTCAGCACTTGCAGCTCTACTTCAATTATTTAACGCTTCTACCTCTGCTTTACGATGGACCTTTTAATCTTAAATTTCGTGGAGTTGAATTTCATGGATATTTCTTTGTTGATCAATTTAAAACTTCTTCACAGCTAAAAAAATGTTCGCTTCTTTTCTTGGCAGAATATCCCCACTGATTAATTACTTGACGGATGCACTGGGCTGACTGAAACGATACTGATTTATTGATAAGTGCTCAGAATTAGTAGAAATTTTTCTCAAATCCATACCCACGCTATGGGTGTATCAGATTCACACATCAACAAGCATTTCAATCTAATCTTCTCCGCTTCCATGATAGATGAATTTCATCTTCAAGATCGCAGTCCGCATTCGTCGAGACGTCTGTATTCTCGATTTCCTCTTCATTATTACATTCTTCATCTGTATTCCTCTGTAATGAAGTATCAGGATCTCCACTGCGCTGCATCTCCACCTCGCTTCT